CCACACTACGCAGCCTGATCGGTATTGGTGCAATTAGCCGGTTCGGGTACGCACTATAATATTTAGTGCCCCTGGCCCCAATACAGTCTATTCCGCGGTGTCTTTTCGAGAGATAAGTTGCCTGTCAAGCCCAAATTATACGAGAGTGCAGTTGTTAATTTGGACATTGACCGTGGAAAAGGAACGCATTGGGTAGCGTATTTCAAGAAAAGCAAGGACGCAGTGTATTTTGACTCTTTTGGTAATTTACCTCCACCGCTGGAACTTAAAAAATATTTCACCGGATTGCGCGTGAAATACAATTATAATCAGAAACAAAAATATAACACAAACGTTTGTGGTCAGCTGTGTTTAAAATTTTTAAAATCACAATGCTCAAATCGCTGACCCTTCGCTGCATGACACAACGACGGAAGTCACAACAAGTTTTTTTCCACCGATAAAATTCGCTGGAGCACCAGAGGTTGCGTTGTTGGGGTTTTACGGATGTAATTCAATACCAAATATTGAAAAGTCAAACAATACATTCACTTTGATAAATACAAATAACGAGCTTCTTGAAAATAACATAGAAATTAAAGTGCCTGAAGGCACTTATGAACTCGAAGACATTAGTAAATATCTAGAAGAACGTCTTCAGTCGTATAAAATCTCATTCATGTTCAAGGCTAATAAAAACACTTTAAAATCAGAATTAAAGTGTAGCCGACAGATAGATTGTAGCGTTGAAAATAGTAGAGGTGGTATTTTAAGCTTTCACCGAAAAATACTCGACGCAAATAAAATACATACATGGGATCAAGTTGCCAACATAAATAATTTAACTAGTATAAAAATAAATTGTAACGCTGATTATGGCGCATTTGACAATGGAATTCCTAGTCATGCGGTTCACGAGTTTAATCCAGGAGTGGCAGCTAGATACCGTATTGTTGAAAATCCTAAAAATTTGATATACTATCCATTAATATCCAATCAACTATACTTTATAACTGTGAAAATAACAGATCAAGACGATAAATCGATTAACTTTAGTGGTGAGCCTGTTACCATACGTTTACATATACGCGATGGCTCTTTGATTCAATAAAACCAAGAGTAATATTAAAAAACCAATCATTAAACTAGTTGAAGAGATACGACGTGGAAACCTTGACATTCTTTCTGCTTGGGGATATACAATTAACAATGGACGAAATTTTAAAAGTAATGGAAACACCGTACAATGAAGACCGCATAGTGAAATTGGATTATTTTGCCTATCAACCGTTTTCGGTTAGCGCACTATTGAATAATGATGAGATACGAATATGTATTCAACAGCAAGATGTTTTCACCCTTCCATGTGATTCCTATCTCTTGATAGATGGAGAACTCTCGGGAGTTCCTGCCGGCTCAGATGTACAATTGGTTAACAATTGGCTAGCTCACTGCTTCACTGAAATAAGATATTTATTGAACTCAATAGAAATAGATAGATCGCGTATGCCTGGGATAATGTCTACAATAAAAGGATACGTCACNGGATAATGTCTAATAAACTGATACGTCACGTTTTCACCGAATGATCACGGTTTGAAAATGCTGGCTGGAGTGTTGTAACTGCAAATACGAGTATGAAATTTGAAGTATGCATACCTCTAAGGTTATTATTAGGATTTGCCGAGGATCATAAAAAAGTCATCGTTAATTGTCGTCAAGACTTAATATTGCAACGGAGTGGTACAGATTTAAACTGTATTTACTCGACAAATGAAAATTTATCAAGTTGTAAAATTATTTTGAACAAAGTTATATGGAAAGTTCCACATGTAAGTGTGTCGGATGTCATGCGGTTAGACATGCTCAAAATCCTGGAAACCTCAACACCGCTTCAAATAGCATTTCGAAGTTGGGATCTATATGAAAATCCCGGCCTACCAAATAGTAAAAGACAAGCCTGGACTGTGAAAACTTCATCGCAGACTGAGAGCCCGAGATTTGTNACATCGCAGACTGAGAGCTCAAGATTTGTTATTGTAGCTTTTCAAGTGGATAGAAAAAACAAAATAAACAAAGATAGTAGTAGATTTGACCATTGTTCGTTATCATCTCTAAAAGTATACTTGAATTCGGAATCGTACCCCTATGATAACTTGNGATTCGAAATCGTACCCCTATGACAACTTGCGAATGGACTTTCCAAATGATAAGTATGCTGTACCATATCACATCTACACTCAATTCCAAGAGGCGTTCTATGAAAAGGAGATGGCGTGTCCCATGCTGACAAAAACAGAATTCAAGACAACTGCACCACTCATTGTCATTGACTGTTCGAACGAAAAATTAAAAAATGCGCCAGTAGATATTAAATTAGAATTTGAATCTGATGAAAATTTTCCGACCAACACTACAGCATATTGCTTAATTGTACACGACAAAATGTTTGAATATAATCCTATGACTAATGAAGTTCATAAAATATTATAATT